TCGTCATTTCTTAATCTTCTACCAAAATCAAAACTTTTGTTCATTTGAAATCAAAAGCAAAAAACAGAATTCAAAAATATTAATCCGTTTTGATTTTACGCCACTTCACAGTTGAGAGTTTTATTGAATGACACAGGAACTTTTTCAATAAAGCACGTGGTCCGATGACGCAAAAAGTAGGACACAAAAATCAGCTGTTAGTCTTTTCACAATGGCAACAAAAGGAATATACACCAAACGTGACACAGGTAACCAGCCAGTACACACTCGGTCAATCCATACACCATTTCCCCCATAAAAATAAATACCCAGAGAGGTTCAGTAAGTGGGTATGCTTCGTTTGCCGGTATCGGCCTAATTGGACTCCCGAGTCAAATCAACCCATTTTGTGAGGAGTTCATTTCGAAGATTCTTGCTTCACTACAAGATGGGATGTGGTGATATCTTTGGGAATGAAGATAAAATTAAAGCCAGATGCTATTCCAACTGTGGATACTGCAAATGAAAGGAAAAGAGATGAGAAACTGTCAGACAGCGCAAAAAGACAGGTAAGATGGCCTATTGTTTACATTTCGTACATTAAATAAAATATTTCAAACGTAACTTTCTTAGTCCTTTAAGATAAAATGAAGTTAAGATAAATACAAAATTTCATTTTTTCTATCTTATTTTCGATAATTCGAAACATTCATAGCAAATATAGAAGTAAAAACGAAGATAATGAGGTCAGTGAGTTTTGGTCAGAGCCATATCAACCGGGTTGCAACTCATATGATGAACTAGTACCAGTATACAATGCAATGGAAAATTGTTAAACTTCAATAACAATTTTACTACGCGAAAAAACGATCCTTACACAAATGTTTGGGTGGACAAAAATTTTTCCATTTCTTACAAAATACGGGTCTTACCATACAAAACTTCATCAGTGATCGTCACACAGGCATTGCAAAATGGAACAGAACATCGCAGCCTTAAACAAATCATTATCACGATCTTTGGCATGTATCGAAAAGTTTAACCAAACAGCTTCTGAAGGCCAGCAAGGAGAAAGGCAATGAACCAATCGCAGCATTGATGAAAGGGATTAAAAAGCATCTCTACTTGTGTGCCTCATCGACAAAACACGGATTCGGGGAGCTTATTCTGGCAAAATGGAAGTCATTTGCACGTAACGTTTTTTTCTAAAGGTGCAGCAGTTTATGATCGATTAAACTTGATACTGATGAACAGGAGAATCTACAGTGGCATAAAGAAGTTGTCATCAGATGCCCAGACAAGCTGTCTCAAGGGGTTCCATTTCCTACTTAATCACTACCATC